TCACAATAGGATAGTGTTGTCAGTGACTAGAATCTTTATAGTTTCTGAAGTGGCAAGGGACTGGGGAAAAAAGAGGACTTTAAAAAAAAAAAGAAAACTTTATATTTTATTTAGTTTAAAAAACAAACAAAAAAATCCATAGTTACTTCCATTTTTTCCCCCAACCAAAACAGAGCTACTCAAACTTGACAAAATTCACTGGCTAATAAAAGAAAGATCAAAGGCAGTGTCAATATTTAAAAGTGATTTTTCTAGTCAGTTACACCAGTTTTATGCCATATGTTCAGCTGAAAGCCAGCAGCTATGACACCTACAGCTGTTCTGCCATTTAACATCTGATGAGCTTGTGTTCTTTCTAACAGAGTTATATTTGACTTCAGACAGAACTGTAAAATGACACCTCTCCATCCAATACACCACATAGCCCTACCCCAGCCTTCTCAGAAACGGTCTGCTGATCACTTCACAATCGTATGGTTGACGCCCAGGCTCTTCGAGGCTGGCCATCATCCACAGGAGCCAGTGACATGAGGTGGCCAGGCTGGGTCAGTAACGGCAGCACCAGAGTTTGCTATGTGGTAGGAACACAACACAAGCAAGAAGACAGAAATTCTGGATCTTCGCAGTTTAGTGGATCGCCTTCCATGTAGGTGTCTTATACGGTGGTCTGTTCACAGGCTGGCAACATCTGGACTTCAGAGCTCTCCATTTTTAACTCCTGCGTACCTAAAAGCACCATTTCACCAAGTCAGTTGAGTTTCAAACTTAACAGATGTCCAAGCAGATCAGGACAGATATACTAAACCCCCCAAGTCACACAATGTAAAGTTATTGTTCTCTCTCTCTTTATTCACGAAGACGAAATATCTGTTACCCTTCCTGTTTATAATCTAAAGCAATTTCTCCAGCCTGGTGACAAGGACATTCAAGGGTAGGAAAAAAAAAATCAGGTTCTGGCCCTGCCCTCAACACTGTTTGTGCATTTTATCACATGAAACTCAGGAGGAATAAGCTCATCTTCCTCTGTCAGCCCTAAATGTTGTGCTTTGCGCTGATCTCAGACATGCTCCAAGGACACCCACTGATCTGGCTCTTCCATGGCCTTATGAATCACCCAGTGGTGTAAGGTGAAAACAGAAGCATTGAAATGCCTTTTGGCACTTATATGGTTAGAAACATATTTTCAAGTTTTAGGCGACTGCTCTGCAAACACTCAGCCTAAATACACACCTCATGTGCTTGAATGGTTTCCTACAGCTGAGCCTAACTTTCTCCTGCTCCACTGCTGAGAGCAAATTTTAGGCCCAAGTTGCCAGAAGCACAACAGACCCTGCTAAATAAAGAACAAAATATTCAAAAAAGCAAATAAAATGTACTAACAATTTAGTGGCAATTTTTTTAAATCACATAACTGATGGTAGGATTGCATTTATAGCAATGAGGACAGGAGAAGGGAAGTTTGCAGGCAGAAGTAATACCTTTTATTAGAATAACTAGAAGATTAAGCACACTTCTTGTCTTGCAAGCCCTTCCTTGGACACCAAGTTTCCCCAAATCTACTGACTGGGGATATAAAAGACACTATCTCTGTCTACCAGACTTGCTTTATTCCATAAGGCACCTTTGTCAATTGAAGAATGGCACCTAAATGTCCCAAGACATATTTTATTGCAACTAGAGTAATATTCTAAGTAGAATAAAACCTTAGTTTTTATTCCTAAAGGGGCTTTTTAACTGTTGCCAAATCTGTGTACGACATGCTTGTAACAACTGACAATACAGGTTAAACTGCACTTTAAATAGGGATTAGGTACAGGGTCAACAAAGAATTTATTCTCTACCAGTAACACTTCATGGGCTGACAGACTGACATCTAGCTTAACTACATACAATCTCCGTCCTCAACGACAGCCAGCACATAAGTGTCCTGGCTGATTAACATCTTAGACCTCCCCCAGTATAAAAGGTAGCTTTAACTTTTCAGGCAAATTGGGAAAAAAAAAACCCAAACATTTTGTGCAGTAATAATTCTCAAATGTAGGCATTTACTTGTTCCCATCACAACAAAAACATTAAAAACAAAGAACAGGAAGGCAGGGAGCATATTCAGGATTTATCCTGAAGTTACATTTTCTTATCCCTTTTGTTTGGGCAAGTCCTTATTTTAGAAGCCAGCATAATTTAAGCCTAAATTATTTAGGCAATTAACAGGTGCTGTCTGTGTGGTGATAACACTTTCTCCCTTATCACAAATCAGCATCTACAAAAATAAGCTGTAAGAGTCTGGAGACTTTTTTTTCCCCCTAGAACAAGAGAAGACAGACCACTCCTGAACAGTTAAATTTGCACTTTACTGAAATAAAATGCAACTATCATAACAGTAGGGCTCAGGCCTTTCTGAACAAGTTGGACTATTCCTAAAAAGCAATCAGATGTTACATAGTGCTCCAAAGAGCATATCTGTTAACTTATGTTTATACAGTTGTTATACTGACATTCTGAAACAGAATTCTAATTTTAGGTTCAATATAAACAGGCAAAAAATGCTCTTTATCACCAACTTCATCTTACTGAACATATACTTACAGGGAGCATTTACTTCAGATTACATTGGGCATAAGTCAACAGGAACTACCACTTCTAGCCTTTACTCTCTTCACCATTTTTCATGCATTAAGCTTCAGAGTGCTTCTTGTAATTGCTGAGTGATCAAGTAATATTCCACTGAAAGAATTTACGAGACCACATTAGAAATTCTTGGCCATTCAATCTTTTCAGGTTTCCTGTACAATCTTGTTGCACAGTTTTTAAATTGAATTAAGTGTGGGTTTAAAAAAGTGAAAGATGCTTCTTCCCACACGAGTTTCTACAATGGAGAACATTATTAACACATGAATTTAGGTGCACGATTAGTTTCAGAACGGAATTCAACCTAAGGAAAAAAAAAGTTCTTTCTTCACCCTTGTGACTTCTCTTCCCCCACAGCATGCAATGCCTCCAACGCTTCTCGCATCAGCAGGCACAGAAGATGCAGTTCATTTCCTCCTCTACAAGAAAGCAGATAGGAATCTTCCACTGTGGCAGCTCTGGAGCTGACACTTCCACTGACTGTGGGAACACCGTTGGGCGCTGTCTATGCTTAAGAAAAGATATCTCTTAATGCTGCAATTTTAATATCTCTATTTTGTACAGTGAAGACTGAACATTAAATTTTCAAGTCAAACAAGATACCTTCTATATAAAAGTCAAACTTCAGGAAACTTGAGGGCCATGACAACCCCTTATCAGTTTTCTTCACTTTGCTTTGGTATAAAGACATAATAATTAAAGGTTGTATATGTTTGATGCATTAAGCTCATACTGATGAAGTTACAGATAAAACCCTTCCTCCTTGTACATTTGCCCTGCCTATCAAGGAAGTCAGGATCCATCTCATTTCAGACACATACAAAGATTTTCCTGCAGAAAGCAAGCAGTTTCACAAAGACATCCCAATAACATCAGTATCTATGCCATCAGCCAGAGTTAGGGCTGTTCAGCCTGCAAAAGAGAAGGCTCCAGGGAGACCTTATCGCAGCCTTCCAGTACCTGCAGGGACCTGCAAGAAAACTGGAGAGGGACTTTTGACAAGGGCATGTAGTGATAGGACAAGGGGTAATGGCTTCAAACCGAAAGAGGGTAGATTTAGATTAGATGCAAGGAAGAAATTCTTTACTATGAGGGTTGAGGCACTGGCACAGGTTGCCCAGAGAAGCTGTGGATGCCCCATCCCTGGAATTGTTCAAGGCCAGGTTGGACAGGGCTTTAGCAACCTGGTCTGGTGGAAGGCGTCCCTGGCCATGAAAGGGGGGCTGGACTAGATGAGCTATAAGGTCCCTTCCAACCCAAACCATTCTATGATTCTGTGATCAATTTGAGAAGTGCAGAAAGAATCTAGACAGCAAAGCAGTTCTGAGGCACACTGAACAATCAGTTGTCCCATTCTCCCTTACTCAGCTCTTATACATGTTCCTTAAAACACAGCTGAATTGCATTGCTGCTAATAGCTGGAAACAGTCACAGCAAGAGAAGTGGAAATGAGGCAAGAACAACCTAGGCAATGATTGGAGAGCAAGAGAACAGGAAGCCCAGCAGTAAGAACTGCCAACACTATGAACTGAGAAGCTGGCTCAATGATGAGCACTACAAAAGTAAACTACTTGACTTTACTGCCTATGAACACTGACATTTGATCATTAAATTCTTGGCTGTACCAAGCTCAGAGACAGCTCAGCCCTACTAATGCAGTGTCCAAACAACTGCACAAAGAATTGCTCATGGTCAAGTTCAAGGCGTAATGTGAACTGTCTTCAACTGAACAAATATTTAAACATCTAAGAGGCTTATTAATCAGTACACCTTGAGAGACTGTCATCCTTAATAATACCAAAGTGCTTTGGAATTTATGGCACAGAACTGCAGCTACCATGAGGCTTCTGGGTAGCAGCCAACTGTTGCTTATCGCGCTACGCTGCGTGGATAGGAAGTACTGGCTTGTGATACTGCAGTAAATCCCTGGGAGGCTTTTTGATGCCTTCACAAGGGAGCATTTTAGTTCATCCCAAGGACCCAGACATAACAGACTGAGTATGTTTTGCTCAAGAGAGGAACAAGACTGTGGAGTTCTGAACCTCTAACTTTTGGCAACTAGTGTTTCTTACTTGATTAGCTCATCCTGCAGACAAACCATCACAGTCAGACTACGTTTCCTAAGGTGCCCAAGAGAGACCAAACTCTTGTAATCAACTCTTATTTACAAAATTTAAAAAACATATACGAGATAATACATCAAATAGGAAATCAAATATGATGTAATAGGAAGAAACCAAGAGCTTCAACCTGAGAAAGGATATAACCTATGACTTAATACCATATAGGTTCCTACGGAATTAGGCCAATATAAGTGCTTTGCCAGTCAGATGCTCTAGCTTGTTTCCCCTCTCCTTAAAATAGACATGTACCCTGCACAGATCCTCTTCTTGGCCATATCTCCAGTTTTTCAGATCTGTGGATATCTCCATCAGTCAGAGGCTTGGGGAAGAAAAGTGAGATTGAGCAAAGCAGCTGGAGCAGACATAAAGGGGACTGGGGCAAAATTACCATAGAGCTTTTTTTCCTGCATATAGCCCTCAATAAAAAAAAAGACCCTGTCCATTACTAAAGTCATAGGCACTGTGAATTACAATAACAACTTATAATTATATAATAAGAAATTTATTTTTAAAATTGGAAGAACTATAAATTTATAATAATTTATCATTTTCCCAGATTACTTTGTACAAGAAATAAAAACAGCCTTCATATTCTATTTGTTCCACCTTACTACATCTGTCATTTTGTATTTGATTTTAAAATAGATAGCAGCATTTAACTTCTTCAAAGGTCAATATTTGTCCTCATCCATGAGTTGCCCTAGTTACCTTCTGAAATACACAGGTATCAACAATTGCTGGACAAGGATTCAAGAATGAGGTGGAAAACTCCTGCATAAGACGAAAATCTTACGCACTGCAGCTGTACTGCAGACAAGAAAAGTTAATTCTCTCCACTTGTTTCAAGACTAGCAAGAAAGTAAGTGGGAAAAAGTTGAGCTGTTGTGAGGTACCTATGAAAAAAGTAGGTCAGGCTTAGAAGTTTGACCTACTGATCTTTTTTGCTTTGGAAAAAGTACAAATGGAGTTTACATAATGCTGCTCACATGCAAGCGCTGGCTGGAAGCTAAACAATACAAAAAAATCTAAGGAAGTAAAACTGTGATAGGAAACAAAAGTTAAAAATCAAATTAAAGCTTTGCTGCTAATGCTAACAGAAATTTCTGTGATAAAGATACCACTTCTATTTTACAAAGGAAGAAAGAAAGGCACTACCACAATAACTTTTCAACTTCCAAAGTCAGTCCTGCCAGATTCGAAAGGGAGATACAAGTTACTGGCTCCTAGATCTGTACTCTGTAATCAGGTATTTCTTACCTAATTCTTTAACACTAATTATTAGAGAATGAGGAATTCAACAGGATTTGGTGGGAAGCAAACTAACAGTTTTGTATCTTCACACACTAAGGAGGAAACAAAACGTTCACCTAACAGAAGCAGTATTAATCTGTATTTGTTAAAAAGCAGATGTGAAACATCAGTTCCTCTACGGACAAAAACAATCGGCCCTCTCATCTCTGCTCTGGCAGGCTCAAATAGCCAGGCTGACACAGCTCTCTTTCATGAGATTCTTCCTACACATAAAATAATCCCATATATTTAAATTTTGAGTGGCTGAGCAATTACAAAATTAGTTCATTACAACAATGCCTTACTATTCATTTTTCTTGTGCCTTAAGGCCTGGTCAACTACAGAACCCAAGCACAATTCAAACACTCTTCTTTGTCAGATTTTTATGTCCACTTGAAAGACATCTACAGTCACGAAGTGGAATGGAAATGTTAATTTTAAAGATGGCACTGACACACCCAGTCCAGGCACACCTATTAACAGACTGCTCTTGTTAGAATATTCAGATTATATGGGGTTTAGACTCTTTGCCAGTCCTTACTAGTTCTTATTTGGGTTTTGTACTGTTGTTTTTAAGGCATGGGCCACATCTCTAAAATGCAAGTACTGTTGGCAGTGCCTGCACCTTACAGCAGGTCCCAATCCCCTCTGTCCAGACCAGCAAGGTGACCGCAGAGCACCACCTTTGCCTCCTTGCTCAGGCCCCTGGAGGCAGATACCAAAAGGGAAGTGTTTTCCTAGAAATTATGTTCCAGAACATAATTTTAACACTGTGATGTTCAGATGACTTTGGAGATTGCTTTTCAGCAGTCCGTTCTTTCTAGAACATCATATTACGTAATTCTTCATTCTCCGTGCCATCAACCCATCGTTGTTTTTGTATTCTCAGCACACAATCCAAATCGGTTCATGAAAGGGCAAATAACTTTTCCTGTCACACTCACTGTCTCATACAGTACAAAAAAAAGATTAGGAAAAAGTAATTTTGCAATCATGTCCCATCATTCTCTACTGAGAAGCACTGGGAGCAGCATGCCATGTTTTGAGTATGTTGCAAGGCACTTAACAAATGATCACCAGAACCCTTTTACAGTTTTTGAAAAGCCAACTATCCATACAAAGAAACAAAACAGAACAGTATCTACTGCAGTGGACAGTGCAGTGATTGCTCTATACCACGATTCCTCCACAGCGGAGCACTGTCCATTACCAATTTCTTAGCACAGGCCCTAAAGGGCAGAAGTGATAATATGCCATACTTATTTTTACATATCGCTATTTTTGAGCGGACAACTGCATTTAGAAAAATAGTGCTAGCTGGAACTCAAGCTTACAGTCTCTTTTAAGTAGTTGATGCTTTATTTTTTCTATCCATTGTATCCTATTCTATTTAGAAATATTGCTTCATTTGAGTACCTTCATGTGGTCTTGGATTTATTCCATATATAGTCAGTGCTCCAAGTAGAGAAAAATATTTCAGTGGCAATATGGTCTCAAGCTCAGCAGGAGCCGGGAGTTACTGCTTGGTCGTATCACCTGTGATAGTTCATTAAGCTGATCCCAGCAAAGCTACAGCTCCTGTTGGAACTGTGGAGCAAAATTCCTCAGGAAGAGCTATCACATGCAGAGGAATAACGCTGAACAGCAGTAATTTGCCACTTAGTACTACACAACTTATTTCACAGGAGCAGGGAGTTAACTGCCTCAGGAGGAACGGTCTGCAGGGTATAGCCTGCTCTTCTGTAAGACCAGAGATCCCACTGAATCTGGAATCATACTTGCAAACAAAAAGGCAATGCAAAACCAAGAACCACACATAATACTTTGGAAGATACATGGAAAGGTAGCATTTGTAAACAAAACAGACAATTTAAAACAAGCGGCATGTTGTAGGTCCACAATTTACTATCATACTGTTACTGCACAGCATGGTACAGAAGGCAGTTTAAATGAAAAGTATAATTCGTAACATAAGTGACCTTGATGCTTATGTCAGAGATGCAAGATGAAATTGGAAGCTCTGCTGAACACTGGTATCACCTAAGTCAGCACTACTGTGCATCTGCTGAGTGGCCTGGCCATAACATTATCCTGTGTGTCCTAGTGTGATACATGTATCAACATAAGAGGGTGTGATAAATACTTGCTTTAGAAGCTACCCCCCACAGTTTAGCAGCCTTAAATTCTGACATCCATATTATCTTAATGACTGCTATAAAAAAGGTACATGTTGTTCTGTAAACTGGAATCAAATGAACAATCATGCTACATAGGAAAGGATGACTAAGTCACATAAACAAACTGATAGCTTAGCTTTCTGAAGGGGGATTTTATTTGATTAAATTCTCCTCTTAAATTATTTGACCTATCCTAAAAGCATTTCAAATTGTCAGTCCCCCCACATGTACAGCTTTTAACACATCTAATTTCAGCTGCGCATACTGCTCATACTCCCCTCCTGAAAAAAAAATACCAAAATCATTAAAGATCCTCCCACACAAAAAAGGAACACATGGAGACAAAACCATCAGCTTTTAAAGTTCATCACTAAAGAAGTGTAGAGATACAAAAGCAAAATTCATTACTATCAAAATCAGTGGGAGCTTAGGCATTGCCTTAAATTAAAGCCAACTCTGTCCTTGTTTCTCGCATAGAATATCAGTTTGATAAGAAAAGGATGTCAGTGCAAGAACACCGAGAAGCCACTAGTTTCCAGATTGGAGCTATCAGTGTTCTGTACATGCACACCACAAATAACTAAACCTTACTGTGAGAAAAATCCACATAATTTTCATCTTTCCTGTACAGTCTTAAAGATGTACGAAATACCTGAAACCAAGTTAATGAACAACTCTTACAAAACTACATAAAGAAAAAGCACCCAATGGAGACTTGGACCCGTGTCCACACAAGCGTAGTTCCTCTGGCCTAAAGACAGATAAGCATCTGAAACCTTCAATGATCCCAGCTGCAATCTTTTGCTCATAATTACAATGCTGGAGAGGAATTTTTATAGCTAACAATTATCAAATTACTGTAAAACTTATCTTTAAGAGTAAGATTTAGGAGACTAATCAGCCCTTCCCTGCATCGATTTCCCCAGAACATAAGCTCCTTCAAAAAAAAAAATTGAAAACAACCTAGATTTTTTAGAAAAGCACTAAAGCCATTGATTTATTCTGCTGTCCAATTTAGCAGCAAATCATCATTATCTCTGGAGTAAGATGTACATATTGTTTAGCATTGAAATCAGATTTTTTTTTTTCCCCCTGAAACATAAACCCAGGTCCCCAACCTTAATGGCTGGAAACAGCTCTGAATGAGCCAATGCAGGGCTGCCTTCCCAGGTTTGCCAAGACCTCTGCTCTACGCAATGCTCAGACAGCTGCAGTACCGAGAAGACCAGGCTGTTCCACGCTGCCTTTCAGAACCCTGAGGACAGCAGCCAAGCAGAGACACAGTGTTACTCCCCTTTCTCCTTGGTACTAGGCTGACTTGTGGAAGCACAACCTACAGTAATTCCCACAGGAGATGAACACAGAGGTAAAGTGAAGAAATGTTTTCTTTCACCAGCTGAGAGCAGGATGCTTCAAAAAACCCTACTTCTTAGTGGCACATACGGAAGTTGGACAGCTTGAATGTGGTCCAAGTACAGTAGAGTGTGCTGAGAGTGCCTGAATCTCGCTAGCAGCTGGGACAGCATTTACCATCAGGGCTGTGTCCTCCCAGGCCATACTTCTCCCCAGCAGTCTCTGGGTAATGAATGGCACTCCTAAAAGCATTTATCTCATAATTCAATACTACAAGCGTTTGCTACAAGAAATCCTTGATTCAATGGGCATCCTCACACTTCCCTTCTTTGCAGTTGGGGCAAAAGGCTCATTTTAGAAGGTCTAACTACTAGAAATACACATTTGTATTGTTTTTTACCAGAAGCCTTACAATAGAGTGCATCAAATCCCACATCAATAAATATCTACAAGAGAGCCATTAAGGAAGGATGACAGCTAGTTCTCCTTTATGATTTT